CTTATCTTATCTTATCTTATCTTATCTTATCTTATCTTATCTTATCTTTGATTATAGGATTAAACATGAAAAATGAAATGACAAGAAATATTTAGATCATATTTAATGCCACGTAGATGTGCACAATTTATAAGGCCACAAAATCTCATATTTTATCAATTTATGAAATGTCCCATGAGCCTTTGCTACTTGAGTGTATGGCAGACTTTCTCCAAGTGCACAGAATAAAACAAAAGAGGGACATTGCATAGCTTAATCGTTAAAAATAAAGGACTTTACACTAAAAAGTATTTGTATTTCATACATTATATTACTGCATTTGGCCCTGCAGCCCCCGATAGATTTTTATTTTGGCCCTCTCAAGGAAAATGTTTGGGCACCCCTGGTTAACACCAATAATAAATACTTATGTTACAGGATGTTGTACAATGTGTAGAACTTGGAGTATGTGTTTGGGATAAGGCCACACCAAATTTTAGCCCAATATAATGTATGTAAAAATGGTTAAGTAATAACCGTTTACATGTTACAGTAATCTGTGGAAGCTATCTTGAATTTTCTTTGCTTCAAAAGCCAATCAGTTGTAGTTATACATACAGTGATTGCTTTCTGAAAGTTTCAATAAAATAAATTTGGTGGTTCATGAGAAATTTTGCTAACAGACAGACATGGTTTAATGTAACRATAAATGACAAACTTTAAAGAGCAGATTTTTCCTGATATGTTAGAGCTTAGAGTACGTGCCAAGGATGACCCTCGTCGACCATCAACACACTAAACTTCAGCTCAAMATCTRTGAAACTGACAGAATYACAGGCAGTTTTTTGTTCTGATAGTTGACTATAGCGGCCCTTTTGAATAAAGCTGACTCCAAAAGTTAATCAGCTGTAGATTTACATACAGTTATTATTTTGTGAGAGTTCGCTAACAGTCAAGGTTGAGTTCAACAATTAAGTAAAGATGTGCACAATGTGGTGCACTTGAACCAGTTATTAGCTAAATAATGTAATGTTCATTTGTAAAAAAAAAAATCCCAACTTATTATTTATATGATTTCATTTTATTTACAGTCAAATAGTGATTGAAAGACAAGRTGTCAGTTAATCTGAAATAGCTCCTTTGACTCATGTTTGGTCTGAAATGATCGAACCGGCCAGGATCAATTCATCGTGATAAAAAAAAAAAAATCTAATTCAGATTAGAAAACATGCACTTGCATGCAGCGACCCCCYGAGACCCCCCGGCTCTGACACATATATCTGATCGAGCTTAATCAGCGTGGGGTCGTCACGATAAAGCGCAGCTCTATCTCTGCCCTGGGACCCAAGGGTCCCCGTTCTCTGTTTCAGGGGGGACTGAAAGGCAAAGAGACAACCGCCCCCASCAACACYACCAYTTTCTTTTTCTTTCTTTTTTCTTTCCCTGTCAGCACTTCTCTTCTCTTAAAACCGATTCCTTCGGTTAGTCTTCTGACCACTCTCCCTATGTGTGCTTCTTCTTTTTTTTTCCTCCCCCCACTGTCCTGCCTTTCCCCCCACTGTCTGAAGCTGGTTCCCTCTGTATCAGTTGAAACACTTCTTAAACCCCAGCTGGGGAAAATACGGTGGCTTGGTGGGGGGAGGGTTTCAAAAGGGTAAGTGATTGCCCTCTAGGGGACGAAGCAGAGAGAGAGAGAGAGAGAGAGAGAGAGAGAGAGAGGTGGGGGAGCCTTATCACCCCTGCCTCCAATAGGCACTCCTGGCTACCACCCCAGAGCCAGGGGGGAGGAGTGTGGAGCTGGAGACGCCAGGCCAGCTAGAAGCTGCACTGCCTCTTGACACAGCAAACTCAGCAGGGTGCCTTCCTTCCATCCCTGTCAGTATTTGGCACAATCAGTGGCTGCACAGGCAAAAATCGTTCCCTTCTGAATGAGCCGCTCCACGTGAGGACTCAAGTCAAACGACTTTAAAATTATAGATGTATTTCTTTTTTTTTTTTTTTTTACTTCAAATGTTTGGTCTGTATGCACTGACACGTTTACGTCTTATAAATAAACCCACTTTGAATGAAATAATTGCTTTGCTAGAGCTATTTGTTGTCAGTAACAGGAGGCTGCAGGTGTAAACAAGACTCATAACGCAGAATGCTCTACTGACCTACTTCCCTCATTCAAATGGGAGACATGGGAGCAAACAAAACAAAAACACCACTAAATTAAAAAAAATATATATATAAACAAAATATGACAGCATTTCCCCCCACATAGGTGTGAAATGTAAAAAAATAAAATCGTCATTTAAATTTGTTTGGTAAAAGAAAAATAAAACATATTTATATGATTTAGTGGCATCCAGGCGCCTCCAACAGTGTCCAAGCGCCACCTTCAGTAGGCTATTAAACCTAAGGGGGGGAAGGAAGCGGGGGTAAAGCTTTTTTTTTTTATCCAGATACATCTGAGAACTAATATCTGCCAATCTAAAAAAAAATGAATGTAGACATTTCATGAGGGGAAAAAAAGAAATAATTAAAAAAAAAACCATTTTGGTTTCTGCGCGCTTTAGTGCGCCTCTCAGGCGCGCCTCGCTCTCTGTGTGTTTAATATGCGTGTCTCGCCCGGCGTGTTGCCCCAGACACTATGTATCACAAATCCCCACCTCCACTCCAAGCAGAGCGCGCGGGGGGGTGGGGGGTGGGATGGAATAAAAAGGGTTAACCGGAATCTTTGCATGGGATTCTGCTGGGCGGAGTGGAAGGACGTGATTGGGCAGCAATCTGTGACGCAGGGGACATGAAAAAGCTGATAACTAGTTAAGAAGGCAGTTTGTAACTCTGGAAAAAGAGTGCAGAGCTTGAGAGACACGTTAAAGGAGAAGGACGTGAAGGAAAGGGGGGTAAAAAGAGAAGAAAACAGGAGAAAGGAGAAAAAAAAAGCTGTTAGAAAGTGCAGCCAAAGTAACTGGAGGACAATGGTGCAGCACACGGACACCAGCGAGACGGATGGGAGCATGTCCAGAGAGGCCACCGACTCGGAGGAGAGTGAATTTATGGCGTGCAGCCCCGTGGCCATCAACCCGGACTGGTGCAAGACGGCCACCGGCCACATCAAGAGACCCATGAACGCGTTTATGGTCTGGTCCAAGATCGAGAGGAGAAAGATCATGGAGCAGTCTCCGGACATGCACAACGCGGAGATTTCCAAGCGCCTGGGGAAGCGGTGGAAGATGCTGAAGGACAGCGAGAAGATCCCGTTCATCCGGGAGGCTGAGCGGCTGCGGCTGAAACACATGGCCGACTACCCCGACTACAAGTACAGACCCAAGAAAAAACCAAAGCTGGACCCGTCCAAGTCGTCCGCGCCGTCTCCGGAGAAGTGCGCCAAGCTGGCCAAGGCCCCCGGCAAGAAGTGCTCCAAGATCAAGACGAAGAGCGGCTCCAAGACGTCGCACGGCTACGCGGAGGACTGCGTGTTTCCCGGCTTCAAAGTCGCCAAGGCTGTGAAAAGTGAGCTGACGGACGAGGAGGACGACGACGACTACGAGGACGAGTACCGGATGGGCTTTAAAGGCGGGGAGGAGGAGCGCCTGAGGCCGTACGGCGTGGCCAAAGTTCCCGCGAGCCCAACTTTGAGCTCGTCGGCCGAGTCCGAGGGGGCGAGCATGTACGAGGAGGTGCGGAGCCACAACAGACTGTTTTACAACCTCAAACACATGTCGAAGCAGGGCGCGCTGCACGCCGCTGCAGTCTCACCAGCATCCTCCAGGTCGGTGTCCACGTCCTCCTCCTCCTCTTCCTCCTCCTCCTCCAGCAGCAGCAGCTCCTCATCTGGGGAGGACGCGGACGATTTGCTGTTTGACTTTAGTTTGAATTTCGCTCCGAGCGCTCCGGGCACGGAGCTGGGCAACGCGAATTCAGGAAACCTCTCCCTGTCGCTTGTGGATAAGGACCTGGACTCTTTCAGCGAGGGCAGCCTGGGCTCCCACTTTGAATTCCCAGACTACTGCACGCCAGAACTCAGCGAGATGATCGCCGGGGACTGGCTGGAGGCGAACTTTTCCGACTTGGTCTTCACGTACTGAAATAAAAAAAAGTAAATAAATGAAAGTAAGAGAAGCCGTTTTTCCTCTTGTAATGACAGAGAAGGAAGGAAGGGAGTTGTGAAATTATACATGTCCCGGTCAAATTGCCCCCCCTGTAGTCCTGCCTCTTGTGGGTTTTCTGTCGGGTCCTGGATGATGAAGATGAGGAGGAGGAGGACCATGAGTCGAGGTGAGGTTTGAGGAGATGCTTATGAAGCTGGTAGCAGAAAAAAGTGAAGTCTGCAGACATTTTTTTTTTAAAAATCTGACAGCATGACAGGGTTTTATGGATTCCCTCCTCATAGGTCTGCATTTACTGTTCCACTTTCAGACCACAAAGGGAAAAATAAGAACTTCTATGCATCTTATCCTCTTAAAAAAAAAMAAAAACTAAAACAACAACAAAAAATAAACCTGCAGGGAGCTGAACTCAGACTGTGGACTGTCTCGAATAAAAAGAAAAATAAATTAAAAAAAAAATCTGTGAACTGACAATTGTTCAGGATGCTACTTTACAACTGTTTATGTAATTTTTTAAATGCCTCAAAAATGTTTCTTTTTTCTTTTCTTCTTATTGTTTTTATTTCTTTTGTAACTGATTCCGTTTACCTCCTGGTTTGGGGAGAAAAAAAATGATAGCAGCCTAAACCTCTGCAGAGTTCCAGGTGCGGAGGAAACATTTTGATACATAACAGACCTCATCTTTTTAAAAGGAAAGTAAGATATTTTCAGGCATATTTTTGTACAGTTAACAAAAACAAAGGGAATGTTCTTACTGTGCTTTCAGTGAGTTTTCAGGCACTTCTTCCCTTTATCATTTGTTTTTTTAAGCATGCAAGGGAGTCCTGGTTTTGAGGATTAAGTTAAATTAAGACTTGCATCAAAAATGCCTTGTGATTTATAGGTTTTTTTGTACAGTTGTAGAGCAGATTTGTTGAGTATTTGTAGATGATACAATGGCATCATGGGGGGACACATACCTCAGAGCTGGAACTAGTTTCAAGATTGTATATGTATTGTAATATAGTGAAAGTTAGGAGTTTATGTATATCATACTCGTGATATGTGGATGGGTCCCGATCGCTGGTGTGAAACTGGATTTTTTTTTTTTTGGTATTTTTTAATGGCACATACTGTTTTTTCCCCTCTCTTCCCCCCCCCCCCCCTCTCTCATTTTTTGTGCAATATATACTCTTAAGATACAGACCATCAACAATTGTAGCAAGTGATGGGAAAAACAGACTCGTGCACTGTCAACATCATTTCATGTTATGATGCTGAAAGCCTGTCTGGGCAGGAAAAGAAACAAATCAGCTGGAACTGATGCAAAACAACGTAATGTGGCCTCGTGGCGCGATGCATTCTATTACAAACAGATTGGCGTTACAAAAAAATAATAATTTTTGACAACGTAACATCACAGTAAATGGGCATGGATAAAATGTTTAAGAGAAAATAAAAAGTTCTGCTTTAAAAAAAATTATAATAAATAAATGAATAGGGGCATAGTCTGATACAGTGGTGGTCTGGCTTTAGTTTGAACAAGCAAGCAAAAAAAGAACATTCCATAGTCCTGTTTCATGAAATGAAACTTTTATTTTGAAACTGAAGACTGCCTTCTTTTTTTAAGACATTTTACCACAAACCTGTATTTTTTATTTCTTGCACTTAAAAAAAACAAACAAAAAAAAGCAGATATTGTTTATTTTTATGTGGGTCTTACATATGAAGTTTGTTTGATTAAAAAAAAAAGGTTTTGGAATATAGCCTAATTATATGCCGAGACATTTTGTTGGAAGTTCTAGGCAGTAGTGACTTCACATTCCAGGTGTGAATCTGTCTTTGACTTATCTTTTTAATAAATAAGTACCTACCACCGTCGACTGTCCTTTCAGTTTGTGAATATATGTACACAGATGTGTTATTTCTTGCGTTTGGAAACAATGTGATGACAGAATGATGCCTATTTTGTATGTAGGCGGAGGCTCGTGATGAATGGGCTCRAACTACCATGTGAATTCACATTTAATAAAAAGAAAGTAAAAGGAAACTTTTCGACTGCAGTGCTGAGGTGCTTTACTGTTCTCTGTTCTTTTTTTTCTCCTCCTTTGGCTTTCAAAACACGGGGAAAAACGCACGCTGCGTCTTTAAAAAATTGAATTGCCCGCGTGCAGGCGTCCGGCACTCTGATTGGCTGTCTGGCTTGTCCCCTTGGAAACGGAGCTGGAAACAGGAGCTGCTGCACTCAGCATGTGGGGAGCTCTCAGTCTGGCTGGCTTTCATTCAGAAAACTAGCACTCTGCTCATGAAGAGAGGGAAAAGCCTGAAGATTTTCTGAACACTGCTGAAGGAAAAAGGGAAAAACACGTTGAAATGCAACAGTTCAGAGATGGGGAAAAAGAGCATTTTCAAGTGCATCAGGTCAAACCTGTGGGGAGAAAAAAAGTGGTTAAGCTAAGTTTATAAGGGATTTTGCAGCAAAATTAAAAACGTATATTTAAGTTGTATAATATGTAAATTCGACTGACAAATGAGTTAGATCAAACTAAAAAGTAACGTAAAAATCCTTTAAAATATTTTTTCTGAGTTATTTCATATAGGTTTTTCTTAAAATGTTCATTTCACTTTAAAGTTTGATAAAAAAAAATCACTTATAGCAGTGATGTTGAGATGGGCTTTATTCTAAAAACCTTAAACAGAAGTGACAGAAAATAAAAACAAACATTCTTGAATCTAAACCTGTGTAGCATATTTTGTATCAGCAGCTGTACAGAGATGTCGCCCTGATCTTACTCTGCTGTGTCTGTTCTTTATCTGAGCAGGATTTATAAAACACAGCCATGATGTCATCCAAAATACTAATAGTACAACAACCAGTAATTCACAGTGATTACATCTTCGCAGCGCTGGGGGGCCTCTGGAGGGCCACAGAAGCAGGCCTTCGCCTCCTCCGAGGCTTGTTTAGAGAGCCCCACCTTTAACACGGTGCACATTAAGAAGCAAAGCTGCAGCCACCGAGATGTTTATGCTCCGTGCAGCCATAGAATCCAATGATGAATACTTGCCATGCGTGGCTGCCAAGGTAGTAGCCTCCCCATTAAGTCAGTTTGCAAATCTGTAATAAAACATTTATCTAGCTATTACTTTACCTGACCTATTGGTCAAAGTTGCTAATGGGTTCCAGGACTATTCCCAGTTGAATCTCAACATTGATTTTGTGCTTCTCTGAAATATTGGCTCAGGGCTAATGCCACCGGTACACGTTGAAATGAAATTAGTGACCCATTGAAATTTCCTTCTATTTCCGCCTGAAATAAATAAATGCAGAGCGGTCAGACGGTGAGATACTGTCTTTCAAGGTTGCCAGCTTTATGCAACGCCGGTTGCGGGGAGGATTGCTGTGGCAGAAAGTAATTTCCAATTCCTTGAACGTTTAAATCATTCATATAAGCTTTGAGATGAAGCATTCAAATGTTGGACGTGACATCTGTGCAAAGACCCCTGCTGCAGAACTGAGCCGAGGCATAAACTCCTCTGTGACTGGGCCCTGTCCAAGGATGGATGTTGAATCCAGTAATAATAAGGCCTGTTATGATTTCCTCTCATCTGRTTTTTTTTTCCACTTTGAATCTCACCCAGTGAGCTCAGATGCATTACATCATCGCGTAGCTTATGCCACTGCGCAGTACGATGCCGTGTTGTGTCATCGTTGATCCACATGTGTTCCTCCTCTCCCGGCAGGAGACAGCCTGATATTGCTGTGGGAATACTGATACATACTGAATACGCTCAATGCTCACACTTTCATAACAAAAACAACAACAACTCTGCTCGTATAAATTTACCTCGCTGTTAATTGATAAATAGGAAAATTTTTATTTAAACCTTTCTCCCTCTGGATTATCCAAACACGTCATGCTGTTACACACCGTTTCCTCCTGAACCAGCAAAGGTGTGTGACAAAATAGCTGTCAGGACACGTCACAATTTAAAAGGGTTTTACAACATAATCCAAACAGGTCAAAACAACCATGATTACAATTTATTATCATTCAAAGGTAAYGGAGGAGCAATAATGTTTTGCTAAAGTCTGTKTCTGTGTGTTTGTCTTYACTGTTTGCTAAAAACTSAAAATATTWGTTTAAAWTTTGGCCATTAACTATTACAAGCCAACTCTGCCTGTCTGTTAGCAAAATATCTCATGAACAGTTGGATYGATTKTAATGAAACTTTCAAAAAATAACCATTGAATAGACTTTTATAAATGATTAAAATTTGGAGTCAATCGAATTCAAGATGGCTGCTACACCGACTTAAACACAGAAACCACAAAAATGGCGCTTTTACAGATATTTTGCTAAGATTTGAAACAGTTGTAGCTGAGAGTCTTTTATGACATACTATAAGTGCAATACATTTCACTATGTTTTTTTTAGCTTTAACTTTAGCACTAAATATTGGAATTAACCCTGTTTGTTAGCAAAATAYCTCATGAACCACCTAACAGATTTGAGTGAAACTCACAGAAAGCAATTGCTGGTTATGTAACTACAACTGATTAATATTTGTAGTCAGTCTAATTCAAGATGRCTGCAAAAGTTAAAGGATSAATATAGATATTGARCTAAAACTTGGTAAGGTTGTATCTCAGAGCCATTTTCAACACACACTGCAAAAACAAACAAATCATGTAAGMTTTTGCAGACTCAATTTTATATAAGAGGGTCTCCATCTAAAACTCTGACATGAAGATGGTGGGYGATTTGCATTGCTTTGAAGAACACTAGGCCTTTCATGATCTTATGCATCCATATGAGAAAACCACACGTTTATCACCAGGATGTCTTTAAACCATAAGAATCTCAGATATTATGACCTCATATCCACTCATTCCTAATAGTGTGTGGTACCTTTACTGATAGAGGGAATGAGTCTGTAAAATTGTCTGCCTGAGCAGCAGTCCAGTCTCTGTGAGTCTGCGTCCTGCACTCTAGTCTTGGCCCGGGGCAACTCCTGCTGCCGTTGATGACTATCCATTTGCTCTGGCTTCTCTCTGTATGGGAGGGAGCATCAGTCCCATCTGCTGCGCTGATATTTACTATCCCTTCACATTTATGAGACATGGGGGTGGCAAAGGCCTCGATTGTTTTTTTTTTTTTTTTGGTGTTTTAAGCATTTTGACAAATATACACAGAGAGTGAATAAAAAACAGACAAAAATACATGGTTATGGCCCTCTGCTGAAGGTAAAGGTGGCGTGATGTAGTATTTGCTTGTGTGTGTTTATGTTTTTGTACTATCCGCAAAAAAATGTAATGAACCAATGTACAGATTTTCTCAATAAATGTATATCTACAACAAAATAAAATTTGGAGTCAACCCAAATCAATCCCAGGATTAACACATCTCATGACATGTGCACTGTGGGAGCCATCTTGAATTAAAACTGGCATGAAAGGTGGTGGGTGAAATGCATTCTTTCAAGGATCTCTAGATCTTTAAATCATAAAAGTGTTTGACATGTAAAACAGAGTTAAACTCAGATTTAACCTYGTGTAACTTGGACACAAAAGAAGCGAGGCAATGGATGATAAAGCGAGAAACCGGGGGAAGTACCCACCACG